GGGGGGGGGGGGGCGGCCCAGGGCATTGGTCCCAGAATGGCTCCAACTATATGGGTTTCTGGGGCACCCATCAGAGAGCCGGGAGCCAGGTCTGTGAGCAGCTCCAGCCCAGAGAGAGGGGAGGGAGGGCTCCAGGGAACGCCAGGCCTAGGACCTGGCACAGCTCAAATGCGTGGTCAACAGTCTCCCCAGCACTGCAGGCACTGGCTGTGCATCCAAAAAAGTCCCTCCAATCCCAGAAAACAGTCTTCCCAAGAGGCCCCCATGCCCAGAGCCAATCTCAGTACCTCGGATCTGGCCGCAGCAAAGGTCAGGGAGATGCCCTGGGCATCTGACCCTTGCCACTCCTCCCCCAGCTCTGACCACGAGGAAATTGTGCCGTGGCAGTGGGGGGAAGCAGAGGTTCACAATGGTGAGGAGGTATCCTTGGGAGACCCTGGGGATTTCTCATCAGCTCAGGCTCAGGAAGGGGCACATGTATGAAGGTGGGGAAGATGGAGGTGGAACAATGGGCCTGAAGTGGGAATGAGTAGCCGGGGGAAATAAGCCTGATCTCGTAAGCCTTGCCTGAAGCCTAATCTTCACCTCTCCTGCTGCACCATTGGTCTGTTCCATGGCAGACTTGGGTCTTCATGGTCTTCTAAGCCTGAGGCTCAAAGATGACGTTGACACTAGCTCCTCCGCAGCCTTCCCTCCTAGGGGCACATTGGCCTGGTGCCTGAGTGGGCTTCACTGGGGACTCCAGGTCAGCCCTATCCTTCTCTGGGCCCCATTTCTCAATGCTACAGCCCTATCCCTCCGTTATGAGAGTATAAGTGCTTTGAGACCTTCAAAGGAACAGTCTGGGTTCTCACAGAGCTTCGGATAGCCAAGGGCAGGAGGGAGATAGCCTTTTATTTACTCTCACCCCCCCCCCTTAGCCCACCTCCCAGCCCAGGGTTAGGGTGGGGGAGGGAGAGGCTGGATGGAGGCCAGACTGGCAGAGACAGGGGCTTTGTCCCAGCTGGTTTCTGAGCCAGGAGATCCGGTGGGAAAGCCTGTGCCAGACAGAAAGGAAAGACTGGGAGGAAGAAAAGAGAAGGCAGCCAAGGAGGGGGGCGGAAGATGCTGGGGAGTAAAGAGAAGGGTTTCCTTCTACTTTCTGGTGGGATGGAGGGAGGTCAAGGAGGGGTTGCCCTGGGGAGAAGTTGTACATTGCCTGGGTTCAGTCTAGGAGGCCCTCCTGGGGGAGGCCAGGTGGCTATGGTACTCAGGGAGGAAGGGACAAGGAGGGAAGTTGGAGGGGTCCAGTGGGAGGAGAAGACTCTGGGTTCAAAGAAGGGGTCTGGCACTGGGAGAGGCAGAGGGAACCCTAAACACTCACAGGCATATAGTACCCACCATTCACGCTATATGCTATACGTGGTTAGTGAGCCCCTACTGTGTGCTGGATTCCGGGTATTTGTACAGGATTTTTTTTAGAATATAAAGCATTCTCAAAGCACACAGCCTCATCACAAACTGTGAGGTGGTAGTAATGGTGCTCTTTTACAAGAAAACAAAAGCCCAGAGAGGGTAAGGAACTTGCCTTAAGTTACACAGTGAGTTCACTAGCACCAAGGTGGTGGCTCTGAAGAATACCTTCATGGGGAGACAGGGATCAGAAGCTGAGTTAATGGGGAGGCAGAGGCAGTGGGGTCTGGGGCCAGGTGTGAGTCCATGTGGATGTGTTAGGGAGCCATGGTAAGTCCATCCTGAGATCTACCCTATCTTTCTTTTTTAAAAATATTTTTTTATTGATTTCAGAGAGGAAGGGAGAAGGGAGAGAGAGAAACATCAATGATGAGAGAGAATCATTTATTGGCTGCCTCCTGCACACCCCCTACTGGGGACTGAGTCCGAAACCCAGGCATGTGCCCTTGACCAGAAATGAACCCGGGACCCCTCAGTCTGCAGGCCCACGCTCTATCCACTGAGCCATACCAGCCAGGGCTAACCCTGTCTTTCTTCCTCAAGTCCCCCCGTCACTCTGCAGCATGGCTCCACGGCTCCTGTCCCTGCTGGCAGCCCTGACCCTGGCTGGGGTCCCTGAGGCCTTCACTGATGCTCTGGAAAGGGACAGCTCAGGTAAGCAACCCTCTTGGGGTCACTTTCTCTGTCTCCTGCACCTTCCCTACGGCAGGGAATGGCCTCTGGTTCGGCCCTAACCAACCTCTTCCAGCTTGGGGCACTCAGGGAGGAGGAGATAGAATTTGGAGGAGTGTGGGGAAAGGTCTGGGCTGGGACCCTTTGAAAAAAGAGATGAGGTGTGGGTCCCTGGTCGGGTGTGGAAACTTGAGGTAGGGCTGGGGAGGGGCGCCAGGTCCAAAGTTGCCGGCCTCTAGGATGGAGGGGGGACCCTTGGGACCAGGTGGGGGGCTGGGAGGCAGAACAGAGGTGGAGCTGGGAGAGCTTCTGGACAGAAGTTTTGAGCACAGGACTGTAGGACCCAGGGGGCGGGGCTAGCAGACTGTGGGTGGGGCCCACAAATCCTGGGGCGGTAGTCTAGGGGCGGGATTGACTCGGAGACTTTGGGGACCGGTCTGGGAATCAAGAAGTGGGTTTGCAGGACCCTGGGGATGGGGGCCCAGGTTGCTGGGGACGGTTTAGGAAAACCCACAGGCGAGGCCGGGGAGTCCTGGGGCGGGGCGGAGCGGGAAGGACCCTGGGGCGGGGCTTGGAAACCAGGGTGAAGCTCCTGCGGGTCCCCCCACAGAGGACCGGGC